ATGACAAAGGAAAGGGCAAAGGAATTGCGGGACCCTCGGTTAATATGGTCGAAGAGGGTGGTAAGAACGATTACAACAAAAACAAAGGAAAGAAGCGTGCCTTCAAGAACAAAAAAGGCAGTTTCGATGCTAACAAGAAACCGAAACTAGAATGCTGGAAGTGTGGCAAAACATGCCACTTCAAGAAGGACTGCCGTTTCGGCAAAAAGCACGACAACGCGAATGCAAGTGGTTCAGGAAAGGGGTCTAAGGACCACTCTGAAAACCAAGGTGAGAAATCAATTCGTGATTTGAATAGTTTGATTAAACATTCGGTTTCACTAAATTCTGAAGCATTTTATGTGCAGGATGATGCTGCCGCGTGGTGGATTGATTCTGGTGCCACAACACATGTTTGCAAGGATCGTTTCTGGTTCAAGACTCTTGTTCCAGTGGAAGATGGTTCTGTCCTCTACATGGGAGATGATCACTTCGCTCCCGTTGAAGGCAAAGGAAACGTGGTGCTAGAATTCAGTTCTGGAAAGACTATTACTTTGTCTAATGTTTTGTATGTTCCTAAATTACGTAAGAATTTAACTTCTGGTCGTGTATTAAATAAGCTTGGATACAAGCAAGTGTGTGAATATGATAAATATGTTTTATCAAAGTCTGGTGTGTTTGTAGGATTTGGATATGATAATAATGGTATGTTTATGATGAATTTGAATGGAGTTCCTAATGATTCTGGTTCTGTATTTATGTCCTCGTCGAATGTTATCAATTTTTCGTTATGGCATGCACGTCTAGGACATGTACATTATAAAAGAATGCATGAAATGTATAAAGATGATTTAATTCCTAGTTTTAATGAAAATGTAGAAAAGTGTAAAACTTGCATGTTAACAAAGATCACTAGGCAACCTTTTAAAAGTATAACAAGGAAATCTATCATTCTTGAGGTGATACATAGTGATTTATGTGATTTGCATGCTAGTCCATCATTAGGCCATAAAAAATATTTTATCACTTTCATAGATGATGCGTCTAGATTCTGCTATGTTTATTTGTTGCACGCTAAGGATGAAGCCTTAGATAAATTTAAAATCTATAAAACTGAAGTTGAAGTGCAACAGAATGTGCTGATTAAATCATTACGTACAGATAGAGGTGGTGAATATTATGATCCTGTGTTTTTCCAGTCCGTAGGAATCATTCATGAAACTACGGCACCTTATACACCTCAACAAAATGGTGTGGCTGAAAGGAAAAATATAGTTCTTAAAGAAATGGTGAGCGCCATGTTATCCTACTCTGGTCTGAGTGAAGGGTTTTGGGGAGAAGCTATGTTAACGGCTTGCTATTTGTTAAATAGGGTTCCTAATAAAAGAAACAAGACTACCCCATATGAACTTTGGTATAAGAAACGACCCAACTTAACATTTCTACGTGTTTGGGGTTGTAGGGCCGTGGTTAGACTCCCGGACCCAAAAAGGAAAACTTTGGGTGAAAAGGGTATAGCTTGCATCTTTGTTGGATATGCTGAGCACTCCAAGGCCTATAGGTTTTATGTTATAGAGCCTAATGACTCGATTTCTATTAACACGATAATAGAATCGAGAGATGTCATATTTGATGAGAATTGTTTCTCTTCTATACCTAGACCAAAGATTTCTATACCTAATTCAGATGAATCTCTAAGGGATGATCATTCAAATGATGTGCCAAGTGAGACACTTGAACCTCGTAGGAGCAAAAGAGCTAGAAAATCTAGAACTTATGGATCTGATTTTCAATTATATTTGGTTGAGGGATCAAAGGATTAGATTGATACTCAATACTATTATTGCTATAGTATAGAGGAGTATCCAAGAACATATGATGAAGCTGTGAAATCTCGAGACTCTGGTTTTTGGAAAGATGCAATTGATGAAGAGATTGGTTCTATCATGGAAAATAATACTTGGGTATTATCTGATTTACCACCAGGTTGCAAACCATTGGGTTGCAAATGGATCTTCACAGGAAGATGAAAGTCGATGGTACAATTGACAAGTTTAAAGCTAGATTAGTTATCCAAGGCTTCAGACAAAAGGAAGGGATCGATTATTTCGATACCTATGCTCCAGTTGCCCGTATCACTACTATTAGATTGTTGATTGCCTTGGCGGCTATTCATAATCTAGTGATTCATCAAATGGATGTCAAAACAGCATTTCTGAATGGTGATTTGGAAGAAGAAGTGTATATGAAGCAACCTGAAGGATTTGTAATGCCTGGTAATGAGCATAAAGTGTGTAAGCTAGTTAAGTCGTTGTATGGGCTGAAACAAGCTCCGAAGCAGTGGCATCAAAAGTTTGATGAGGTTGTTTTGTCTAATGGTTTCATTTTAAACCAAGCTGACAAGTGTGTATATAGAAAATTTGATACATTCGGTAAAGGAGTTTTCATTTGTCTGTATGTTGATGACATGTTGATCTTTGGCACCGACCAAAATCAAATTGATAAAACGAAGAACTTTCTGTCATCAAAGTTCTCCATGAAGGATATGGGAGAAGCGGACGTTATTCTTGGTATTAAGATTAAACGGGAGAATAAGGGGATTGTAATTACTCAATCCCATTACATTGAGAAAATACTCAAGAAGTTCAATTATGAAAGTTGTTCTCCAGTAATTACTCCCATGGATCCGGGAGAAAAACTCATGCCAAATACAGGTAAACCTGTGGATCAATTCGAATACTCAAGAGCTATAGGCTCTTTGATGTATGCTATGATTAGCACTAGACTGGATATTGCTTATGCGGTTGGAAAGTTGAGCAGATTTACTAGTAATCCTAGTAGAGACCATTGGCATGCGATAACCAGGGTATTCAAGTACTTGAAGGGTACTATGAATTATGGATTGTCATATATGGGATTTCCTTCGGTGTTAGAAGGTTATTCAGATGCTAGTTGGATAAATAATGTTGAAGATTCATCCTCTACAAGTGGATGGGTGTTCTTGCTTGGGGGAGGTGCCATTTCATGGGCTTCCAAGAAGCAAACATGTATAACTAGTTCCACAATGGAATCTGAGTTTGTGGCATTAGCTGCTGCTGGTAAAGAAGCGGAATGGCTAAGGAACTTGGTATATGAGATTCCGATGTGGCCTAAACCAATATCACCAATTTCTATTCGTTGTGATAGTACTACCACACTGGCTAAAGCTTATAGTCAAATATACAATGGGAAGTCTAGACATTTGGGTGTTAGACATAGTATGATTAGGGAATTAATCATGAATGGGGTGATATCTACTGATTTTGTTCGGTCGCAACAAAACTTAGCTGACCACTTGACGAAGGGGTTAGCTAGAGACTTAGTGAAGAAGTCGGTAATTGGGATGGGATTAAAGTCCATTTAAATCTATTAGCTATGGTATACCCAATTCCCTTCTAATACAACGTTAGAAGCAAAATTCAATGTGGAAAGATCATAGTTAGAGATTGGAGCAATCGTGTTTATCTTCCCAAGGTATGTGCTCAGACCTGCAAGTAATGGCTAGGTTGAAGTATATCTTCTTAATGGTTCTCTTTGAAAAATTGCAAATGCAGGTGCAAGATTAAAAGGATCACCTATGTGAGCATGAAGTTTTGCCGCTTCAGGAAGCTTGAACTTGGCTTCCTATATGCTTATTAATGGATAAGGACACATGGCTTGTAAAAGTGTCAAGAATGAATAGTAGAGTATTGTAAGAAACATATATGTACTGTATCTTCAGATATTCAAATGGATTGACGAGTTCAATCGTTATGACACCCTGATTTTCAAGTATTTGGAATGTGTGTTTGTACTAAGATGAAAATTCAATCGCAAGACATTTTCGTTTATGCATTTGTTTGATCGTTTTACCTGTAGGTTGTACCCTTGTATATATTTGTATGTACTGAGTAAATCAAGGATTACACTAAAATGGGGGGATTTGTTGGTGATTTTAGTATCACCAATGTATTTTAGTAGTAATGTGATTTACTAAAGGCCGATGCAATTATGCGTTAAGTTCGGAGACGAGTTAGGGAAGTGCGGAGTGCACGCTCGTCGAGTCAATGCATAATTGAATATGAATAATTGAAACGGGGTTCCAAGGGGCGAAGCCCCTGGCGGGGTGCGGGGCAGCGCCCCTGGATGGGGTCCCGCTGCCAGGTAAGCGGGCGGGGCAGCGCCCCGTTCGAAAATTTTGAATCCCTTTTCCCAACCGACATAACCGTTTCCGAACAGGTGTTCCTTTTCGGTTTCAATTATTGATCTCCTACATAAGGAGTCATTTGGCCTCGGTTTCAAAAATGGAAAAACGTCTCTTTCTCTCTATATTTGTAATCAGTTTCTTTTGCCAGAAATAGATTGTTCTTCGAGAATTATCCTCACAAAGATTTCGTGAACCCAGACAAGAATATGGTCAAAATACTTTGTTCGGAAAGTGTACGAACACGATTCTTCGAAGTTATCCAGGATTATCATACCCAAATCTCTAACAGTTTGACACACAAACAATTAATAGAGTTAAAAATTTATTTAGAACCAAATTGGCCAATTTGCTGGTTTAATTATTTAAGCCTTTAAAAAAAAAAATCAGGAAAAATGAGTTTGGGGGACGTAAAGCAAAGGCAAGAATGAACGGGCCAAGATAAACGCTCAATGTAAATTTTTTACTTTACGTCTCCACTAAAATATAATGATGAACAAACCCAACTAACCAACGGTGTTGAAACAAAGAGTACTATGGAAATCATGAATGTTTGTCTTGTTTTTTTATTCTTTCAATTAGTGCCAAAATCTTTAGGTCTCTTCAAACATCACATACCTTACACTTCACAAGAAAACGAATTTTCTTCTTTTGATATGCAAAATGGTGCTCATAACTTATATTCAAAATGAGAAGAAAAAGAAAGAATATTGTCAAATTTGGTACTTCCTTGTAGTATAAATTGTTTAGGTGTTTTGTTAAGTTGTTACAATTAATCATACATTTTGATATAAGAACCATGACTATGAGATATTTAACTGCTTTTCTCTTAATTGTTGTAATAACTCTTCCTCAGAAAAATGCTCAGCTTGGTATTCTCAATGATCTCTTGGGTTCTGCTAATATCCAAGGAACTGTACTTTGCACTTCTAAGGATAATGGTGCTCCAACCCCTGGTTTTTCAAGTAAGGCCAAAATTAACTCATTGTGCTTAATTGTGTTTTTGTCCAACATTGATATATATGACTATTTTGTATTAGTGTCGGTGTCGTGTGTCAGATATCCATGTTTTTCTCTATGTTAAATGATTTAATGTTATATAACTATATTTCAGATGCTCAAGTACAGCTACAATGTGGAGGAAACATGGTCTCTAATGCAACAACTAATGGTGATGGAAAGTTTTCAATGTTAATGGATACTCCTTTGCTATATGATCTCTCTTCACTACTCACTGATTGTAACCTAATGGTTCCTACACCACTCTCCAAATGCAACACAAAACTTCCTTCTGTTGGTGGCTTAACTTCGTCTCTCAAGTATGTTGGGACCAGTCGAATTGGAACTCGAACTCTTGCAAACATTGCACCATCTGAATTTCATTTCATTCCATTAACTTAGTTAATGCATCATAATAGAGGATATTATAAATATTACAATTAAATAAATTCATATCCTCTCCTATATTTTTATTTTCCATTGTACTACTTGGCAATCTAAGATTGTATAATGAATTTTAGTTTTTCATAATAAATTATATGAGTCAAAAGCATTTAAAATTTTTTTTTAAATTTTTTTTATACTTTTATGATAGAGTGCTATGAAAATAATTATATATTTGTTTTTGGAGGGTGTTGGTATGCTAGAGATCATGAGGTAGTTTAGTATAATATGTTCTAAAAAATTTCACATAACAATCACAATGAAAAGATTGCAATTAAATCATTAACTTCAAATGAAAATTTAAATTAATTATCTTTTAAAAAATTATAATATATCTTGAATTGTATTTTAACTTTGATCACTAAGCTAGAGAATACTAGTGTCTCTATTTACTTCACATAGACACAAACTAAAATGACGTGTTATCCATGCTAGGCTATGAGAAATGTGACTATTACCATTATTTAAATTAGGGGTGATAAAATAGGTCGTGGTCCGTCGATCCGGTCTGCACACCTGCCATAAAATGACGGATTGAATTGGGACTTTGGGTCCGTCGTTCATCAAAGCCCGTTCTGATAAAGATTGTTATCCGTCAAAGTCTGTTCCGTTAAAATTCGATGTCCACTAAAGCATGTCGCACCTATTCGTTTAATTTGTCCCACCTTAATTCTATAATTTTTTAGTTAATTCTAATAATTATAATTCTTAATGATTTTATTTTATACTTTAATTTGTGAATATATGCAATATTTTTTGAAATAAAATTTGTTAAAAGATATTTTATAAAAAATTGTTCTAAAATATAAATGAAAAAGCTAATTAAAGTATAAAAAAAAACATATTAATCTATTAAAAAAAAAGAAAAAAGTAGGCGGGCAAGCCTGCCGCCCGCTACCTTGGCGGAATGAATTAGATTTATGTCTATTTTTACTTGGTGGACTTGTTCGTCCTGCTCTTTTTTTGGCGGGCTTAAGACGGAGTGGACAGAGCGGAAGACCCATTTTGCCACCTCTAATTTGGATAGTGTGCTATTTTTCTCTGACAATTTCTTTTCCCACTCTTATATCTTCTTTCATAGTCTTGAAAATTCAAAAATGCATTCAGAAATTTTTGAAAATGCATCTCCGGACAAATCCTTCGTTAATCAAGTAGCCACCTGTTTTTGCCAAAAATTAATTCAGAGATGCATCTCTGAAATTTTCTAAGGTGAATTTGGAGATCCATTTTCGAAAATACCCTCAGTAACATTCCAAAATTTGATTAATTTATTTAATCGAATTAAGTTGTATTTTATTAATAGATTTTTATGTTTAAAAGGAAGTATTGGAATACTTAATTGTTTGTTGAGTTACTTTATTTGATTAATTTTGTTGCGATGAGTCTATATAAAGGCTAGTATGTGATGACATGTGTTTATATTATATGTTTTATTTAATCCGTGTTACAGAGCAGGTTTATATCGCATTTGCATGACACCTTATGTGTATAGTTGTTTAAACTTGTATTTGGGATTTTAGGATGTTACATCCATGACCCCTTTTGATACAAGTTTTTCATTGAAATTAGTGTCGTTATTGGGGACTCTCTGTCGAAATTTAATCAATATTAAAGTCATAGGAATTGTATTCCGTGTTCTGACCCTTGTGTTTATGTATTTCTGGCATTTAGGCGACCTAGCGTAAAAAAATTGTTTTCTAGAAAATCGACTCTGAATCGAAATTTACCGTGTCATTTCATCAGAAAAATTAGAAAACAAAATATGGGACACCGTCCTAAAAATCCCAAATTCCTTGTTTTTCTATTTTTTAAAATTTATTTTCCATTTTTATATTTTCGAAAAAAATCCAACAAATTTGTAAACACTTCCTTTGATTTTATTTGATTTTTCATGATAATTTCATATTTTTATAATTTTACTTTAATCATTTTTCTATTTTTCAATTTTTTTTCTCGTTAGGAACATTATTGGTATATACATATTTGATATTTGTTGTATTCCTGATGCATGAATACTAAGTCTGTCTTTTCAAATACATCTAATATTAAATAAAAAAACATAACATAACATTTTACATATATGCATATCCGAAAATATTATTTTTCATAAAAAAATAGAATTTATCCGCATCTCCAAAATTAATTAAAATAAAATAACTTATTAGTTTGCGTTGAATTTTATAAAAAATAAATAAATTCGGAGATACATCTCTAAAAATAAAAAATATTTTTAAAATTTAACCAAAAATTTAAGAAAAAATATAAGAATTTAAGAAAAAGAAATTTCATTCTTCTATTTATAAAGATGATCCACTATAAGGGCTTGTTTGATTGAGTTTATAAAAACTGTATTATAGTTCTTAAAAATTTAAAAGCTAAAAACTTGTTTGAAACAACATTTTTAAAATATTAAATTTGAAAACTAGTTTTCATTTTTTGTTTTTAAAAACTAAAAAACAGAAACAGCTTAGATATGTTTTACTTTTTCAATTTCTTATTTTTCAAAACTGAAAGCACACGGGAAATTGCAAGTTTTCATTAATGACATTATTGTAATTATATGAAAAATTAAACTTGAGAGAACACGTTATCAAGGCCCTAGCTTTATATTTCTTATTAATGGCATTAAGTACATAAAATTATTTTATTTTTATTTGATTATATAACATAATATTATAGTTTTTATTCATAAATGTATATTAGGTGAATTTTTATTCATAAACTATATCATGATTTTCTTTTTTACTTTTATAATTGAATATAGTAAAATAGATTTAAAAAAACTAATAGCAAATAGGTTTTTATAGTCGCTTCTTAAAAATTGTTTAAAATAATAGATTGACAAACAAATTTTCTTATTTTCATTTTAAAAACAGCTTTATAAAATTAAATTACCAAACAATTTTTTTTCCTTATTCTCTTTTCAAAAACATTTTTTCATAACAAATTTATAAAACAAATTTTGAAAACTAAAAACTAAAAGTAATTCAAACAGGCCCTAAATCTCCAAAACTCTTATTTCAACTTTTCTCAAAATATATTCATATTTAATTGATATTTTAATTATATATAAATTTTTAATTAGATTAAATCATATTTAATCTAACATTGTCAATGATATTTTATTTCATCAAATTATATTTAATTAAATAAGTTATATATGTAAATAAGTTCAATCATATTTAATATAATTAACAATTAATTAAATTAAATATTATTTAATTTTAACATTAGTCCGGTTATTAGTATTTATATGTCTCACCCTTTTATATATATATATATATATATATATATATATATATATATATATATATATATATATATATATATATATATATATATATATATACTACGCCAAAAACTGCTTTTTGCAGCGCCTCTACTAAAGCGCTTATTGAAAAAGCGCTGCCATAGCCTTCACAAAAAACAAAATTAAAAAAAAGGGAAACTTACGAAGGCGCTTTTTTAAAAGCGCTGGCATAGGTGGGGGATACGAAAGCGCTTTTTACATTAAAAGCGCTGTGGTAGGTCAAATAAAAATATTAATAAAAACGAAATAATAGGGTTATGAAGGCGCTTTTTAAAAAGCGCTGTGGAAGATTGGCCTTTGAAAGCGCTTTCAAAAGCGCTGGCATAGCTGGACCTATGAAAGCGCTTTTACCCTAAAAAGCGTTGGTAAAAGCCCCCCTATGAAAGCGCTTTCAAAAGCGCTGTTATAGCTTATATTATTTTTAATTTAATAAATTAAAACATCAAAATAACATTATTCATTCTTTTCTCTTCTTCAAACGCACAGTACAATAGCTCTTCTTCTCTTCCACAAACACGATTTCGTAGAAAACCCTAACCCCAACCTTCTTCCTCCGTCCTCCGGCCGTCGTCGCAAGTCTTCGTCTTCCTCCGTGAAACTGTCTCTGTCTTCGTCCGTCCTCACTGTCGTCGCAAGTCTTCGTCTTCCTCCGTGAAATTGTCTTCGTCTTCGTCTACTTCCTCAAAGAATACAGAGTAAGTTCATTTACTCAGATTTTTTGTTAATGCAACTATTAGAACTAGGTACTGGAAGTAGCTATTGTTTTTTTTTGTTCTATTAAAATGTATATTGTCTGGTGTTGGAAGGGAGAACACTGTTGAACATTGTGTTCATTCTCATCATTGATAAACTTCATCTAGGTTCAGTTTTATCATATTTCAAATTATGGTTCATTGGTTATTTGTTTTTGTTTTTGTTTTCTTCAAGAACACAAGTTCAATAGCATAAGCACAATGCCTTTAATTGATCGTAGCTGATGGAATTTAGAACAATGCTTGTTTTTTCTGTTAGTCTAGAGAACCTAACAAATATCAATTTACATAGGATTTAATTTATCAATGCCTTTGACAACAAAGCAAACAGGATAATCAAGAGATGCAAGTATACTGTATACAATTTCATAAACAAAGAGTCTGAAGTTTGCAATCACTAACCTTGCTTTCTCTAATTTTTCAACCACATCACGCATAGCATGGATGATAATTTTCTTCACCTGATACCAAAGAAGCAGCCATCAGGAAAAAAAAACAGTACACAAAATCCCAATAAGAAACTGTTAACAATATGATATGAAATAGGAGAATAGAATTGAAATAGGTTGATGATCAAGATTTTAAACATTCAACAAGGATTGAAACAATCAATTTAGAAGTTAGAACCTTACTAGTATTACTGATTTGTAAGCATACTCACTTGCCCTCGAATGTGTGAGAATATATATACGAAAAGAATCTTACATTACTCTACTATTAATGTTAGAATATCTTAGTTTATCTCATAGGATCAGTTTCTTACATTGGGGTATTTGTTTTCTACAGTTTGGCTACAACCTTCAGTTTTAATTCATAGGATCAAGTTCATTGTATTTGTTTTCAACAGTTTTACTATTTGTTTTTTACAATTTGGCTACAACAAAATTCTATTTAAG